TTAAGACTTAAGCAGCGCTTCGTCCTCGCACCTTATTTCGGTCATTTTATTACACGAAAAACCGCATTTTTGATCGCGCTTTCAAATTTTCGCGAATTTCTGAAAAATAAAAATTCGCTGGAATCTTTAAATATGATTTTTAGAATTACGTCACCTAAGGGTATCTTTGGGCAAAATATGAGCGATTTGTCAAATGGGACGTTGACCGGCGTTTCTCGATCCTAACAGTCAGCCATTCTTAAGTAGTCTAAATAAGCAATTGAAATAGTTTAACTTTGATCGAATGTTAAAAAATAATGAAATTATTTTGCTTTTTAAACACCCTGATAAAAACGTCCTTTGATTCGTATCGGTCTATGCATCTCTTACAGAAACTATGGCTCTTGTAATGGAGCAAGAAATGCATTAACCCTGCCAGTAAAACCTCGTCAAGGTATGATGTAGACTACTTGATTAAAGAAAGCGGAACAATGAAATGATGGCATGATCGAAAGAACGGAACGAGGGAGGAGGGAAGGAAAGGTGGGTGAGAGGGAAGGAGGAGAGGAGGAATGCAAGGAGGGATGGTGGGAGGGAAGGATCTGGGAGGGAGGGAAGGAGGGATGGAGAGAGGCAGTGAAGTATGGAGGGAAGGAGAGAGGTGGGGGGGTGGAGGGGAGGAAGGAAGGAAGGAAGGGAGGAATGGGGGTTAGGCGCAAAGGAGTAAGGGAGGGAGGGAAGGAAGGATGAAGGGAAGGATGGAGGGATGGAGAGGGAGAGAGAGATGGAGAGAGGGGAGGAAGGGAGGGAGAGATGGGGGAGGCGGAAAGTAGCAAGGGAGAGAGGGAGAGATGGAGGGCGGAAGGGAGTGAGTGAGGGAGTGAGGGAGGGAGGAAGGGGAGAGGGAGGAAAATAGGATCAGCTGGTGCGAGACGACGGCTGTGGGCTTGGAATAACATTTTGCTTGCTTACACTGGATAAATTTATTTCACAGTTAAATATTTTCTCTTAAACTCAATACAGGCATGAATGGATTACCGCGTCATCCAGACTTCCCAGACGTATTTCTTCGTCAAAAGTCTCATTCCATTGACGCAACTTCTGTGGGATTCTCCCCCAAGATTCCCCCGAGATCACCGCAGCGAAATCAACGTAACCGCTCAATGAGCGTTGAGCCTGGAGTGCCTGTGCACAACCTTGCTAAGAGTCGTAAGTTGAAAAATCATCATGTCAGCTGTATTTTGCTTATGTTACTATGACGTTATCAGCCCGCCTACAAAAGGTAGAACCGATATCCCCTTCCGAAGCAGAGCAGATTGAAAGAAAAAAATAATATTTTACCTAGACCAAATCATTTATCTTAGTGGTATCCTACTGTCCTTCATGCTAAGAAATTTAAAAGGGATATTTGAAAAATCACTACATTTGGCATGCTTCGGTCGTCATGCCGAGCGAGACATACCGTAAGATCTGCCTCGTCCCCAGTCGACCGCGTAATAGCAAAAAATGTAATAATTAACTAGTGAGGAGGGGTGCACTCCTCACTCGCTACCACCTCCCTCTCGCGCCTTCTTGCTCACTCCCAGTCTCTCAATCGTCCCTTGCGCTAAGAAAAAAAAATAGTTAGAAAAGCCTTTGGAGAGGGCAGCAGCAAGATGAGAAATTGTGTGAACATGCCACTGTGATTGTTGTGATTTAGAACTGAATTTACTTTCTTGTTTTTTTCGTAGGTACAATGAGTGAGCCCAGGTAAACGTGAACTTGTAACAATAAATAAAGTAATGTAGCGAGTCGACCTTTGTTTTATACAATCAGATAATCTCTCAAAGAAAATTCCCCATGTTACAGCTGTACTGCACGCGATTAATAGTGAACGAGTTGACAGAAGATGAAAACTAATTTTCCCAATTGTATGTAATAAACAATAGCCGCAATATTTAGGAGCTGGTTGGACGGCGCAGAGTTTCACTTGCCCATCAAACTTTAGAATTTTACTAGTTAAAACTGAGTGGCTAGCTCTTAATACAAACCATACTTACCAACTGTTACAGCGCTGGCCATATTGGTGCCCCAGATTTCTGTGACACATTGATTGTTCACCGTTTACCCAAAAATTCCGGAAACAGGTTTGGTCAGAATGTAAATGTAAGACAATTTTGGCTCAACCGACAGGAAAATTTCCGAAATAAACGGAACGTCTTGAAAGGTAGTCCAAAATTTCCACCCGAAATATCCGTGTGGAAATGTGCTTACCATTTGTAATTATTTTGGGATTATGATCAGGCCGAACTCGTCCTAGTCTCATTCGGTCAGTTGGTGTTTTTTTTGGTAAACGGCCAATCCGAACGGAACTTACCATCAGACATTTTTGCTCCGTTTGCATAAATCATTGACGAACCGGCTTCTCCGTGTAAATGGTGAACAACCATTGCCTCTATGTATGCGTCGACGCTGTGTGAAGAAATTGTGTTCTTGGTCAGTTATTGGAAATTATTGCCTTCAATTTTAGAACAATAAAGCTAAAACTTTTCTGTGGTAACTATACTTTTAATTCAGTCATGATAAACAAGAAGTTTGTTAGATAGGAAGAAAAGCTTGCACTTGCCAGGTTACATTCAGTAGAAATTGCTGTGTTAAAACCCCGGAGGACAGCCATGTAAAAAGGACAGGGGTGTTCGTCGTACCTTTTAGAGGTTGAAAAAGTGGTTTTGGTAACTGTTAGGGTGTTCAGTTTCAAAAGGTCCACAGCGGGCGCTTTTGTGGTACCGTTTAGGGTATTGAGCCGAAAAAATATGACAGAAGCTTAATTGATGTTTTAGAATTGGTACCTCCAAGGGGTGAAAAAATCTCAAACCACGCCCACAAAGTAGGATTTTGGTACCTCTTAGGGGTTCTTATCAAAATTTTCGACGAACATCCCCGTCCTTTTTGTATGGGAGACCCCCGCCCCCCTCACTTCCCCCGGGTTTAAAACATTAGTGCCTGGTGTATCAAGTTTTCAGGAGAAGCAGGAAATTAATGATTTTCACAGTTATGTTATTTATGAATACGTTGAAATTCTATGTGATATATATACATGCATAGTTATTGAGCGCTTTCGAATGGTGTAACGCGGACTATATATAAGTGACTTTGTATTTTAATCTAACAAGTTCTGGAATAAGATATCTCAAGCCACTAGAGTAATATTTAGCATACACTACCAGAGAGCATTAAATAACCGTAAATATTTGGTTAACGTCCCATTTCAGGGCCCGGATTTTTTTTTTTNGGGGGAGGGAAATCCCATATAACAACGACGGGGGTGCTCGTCGTACATTTTAGGGGATAAAAAAGCCGTTTTGGTATGTCTTAGGGTGTTCAGCCTCAAAAGGTCTACAGCGGGAGCTTTTGCGAGACCTTTCAGGGTAGGTAAAGGTAAGGTAAAGTCTGCATGCGAGCCAAGTGGCCCATCAGCCGGAGCTTATCCCGGTTTCTGTAGCATGAAGCGACTAGGAGTATTTCTACTCCCCCCTGGATGGGATGCTAGTCCATCGCAACTTTGTGCGATTTGGTCGATTTCAAATTCACGTTTTCCCATGCTAACGTACACAAGATCTGACAGAGCCAAAAACTTTGCGATGTAAAAGCAAACTATGGAGCTTGCAATTTTTCATAACTTTAAAATCATCTGAATTTCGGAAATTATTTGCTTTGAAAAGTGAAACTACGAAAACCGCTTGAGGGGTTTTAGATATTTTAAGGAGACACCGATTATCATAATGCGTCAAGCATGGAAGATGTATTTTGAAGATTCTGGGGTGTCAAAACATAAGCTTGGCGGTATGCGAGAATACGGGATACGGGATAAAAATATCTTAGGCTGTGCAGAATGTGCTCATTTCAACTAGGAAATGCGAGATAAATTTGATATTGAGAGGTGGGATGCTGGATGCGGGATAAAAAAACAGCAAGTCAGACCTACTAATTGACTGAACATCTACCTTGGAAGCCCTGGTGAGACACATGAGCAAGAGGTTTTAAAACGGCTTCGCAATCGCGTGGCTATCTTTTGGTTTTAGTCATAATAGCGTCGTTAACTACAACTGGTTTTGACTTAATCATAATCTTTGTAGAAATTGTTACCTACGAATTTCTGACTGCGGCATGTAAAGTGTTTTAACACAGTGTAGCTCTGAGTAGAGATTTTCATAGATGAGACACGGCTTCCCTATCGCGCGCCCAGCTATTGGTTTTAGTAACACCAGCGTCGTTAACTACAACTAGTTTTCATTTGTTTTTAACTACATGGCATCAGAGTTAAAAGTAGTTAGTGATTACGGTTACAAATTCTCCCAGGTTCTATCTTTGAGTTCAAAAAGTAGATCGACTGTTAGTGATTTCAGTCTAGTACTATGGGCAAAGCTTTTAAAATATTGATTTACACATCATGATATACTCTCTGGTTTTGGTGTGTCGATCAAAATGAAACCAAAATGAATGCGCGTCAATAACAGTACCTTTTCTTCTGAAAAGTAGAAGAGAAGCGTGAAAAGTGAAAAGCGTGAAAAGTGAAAGCGTGAAAAGCTGATCATAAAATGGATGTCCAATATCAAACAAGTACACGGTAAACCAAGGCTGCATGTCTCTGTCAACGTATTATTTGGAGTATGGCTTCCATGTTGCGCGACTCCGTCGTCGCCGTCGCTGTCGCCGTCGTACGTACGAGCCCACGGGCAATACGGCTAGCCATTATAACCATGAGAAAATCAACTCATGGGTTTCTTTTTCTTTCCTGTCACGTATGGGGCTCCGCTAATATTTAGTGTTATAATCTAATGCGTGGCATGATATAGACAATAACAATGAACTAGTTTACCCCGGTGCGTGGCTTGAAATTTTTTTCACCCCTAAAAGGTACCCATATTCTTAAACAACACATCATCTCTAGCCTGCGCAGCTTGGCGGTTTTTAAGCAATTTGAGCGCGCTAAGAAAGCTGCGAAGCCGAGATAACAAGCCGCGAAACAAGCTACGCAGGCTACATTATCTCCTGTCATATTTTTTTCGGCTCAATACCCTAAAAGGAACCGAAAAAGCTCCCGCTGTGGACCTTTTGAGGCTGAACAACCGAGGTACAAAAACCGGCTTTTTAACCTCTAATAGGTACGACGAGCAATTCCCGTCCTTTCATGGGAGTCCCCCACTCCCGAGGGAGTTCCCGTGCGAGAACCTGCAAGATAGGGGGCAAACAAAATGGTACATCTAAATATATCATAGAGGGTCTCAATGGGTTTAACCGTCAGCCGCCAAACAGCCTAAAATTCAACCGTAAACCGCCAAAAAGGGCAATTTTTGCCGTAAACCGTCAAAAAAAGGCAGGTCAATGTTAACCTTCAAATGGTTTCATGGTCTTTCAAATCTCACTATTTTAGCGGCTCATCAGGGACTTCTGGCTCTCAAGGATCTTTAAACTTGAAAACCATTTCTGGCTCAGATATTCTCACCCTATAGTCTTTTCCACGATTAAATTTGTACCTATACACTGACATCGCAACGGGTGAAAAAGAGAATGATGTCAAACATCGGCCATGTCACTGTTATATGGTGGCTATTTTAAAACGAAGTCAAGCATCTCAGGTCTAATAACGGTTTTCCTAGTACCTTGCTAGTTTTTGTCTTTACATCAAGACAGTCTACTCTCGCCTCGAACTTTCTCTCGATATTAGAATCCCATCTCTTTTAGAGGTTAAAAAGAGAATGATGTCAAACAACAGCCGTGTAAGTCTAATATGGCCGCCATCTTGATGCGAAGTGTAACGTTTTCGGTCTGATGACTTTTTATGTCCGAGCTTGGTAGTTTTTTTGTGGATATCACAATATAAACCTTTCACGATGGTAGAATCTTATCTCTTCAACGGGAGAAAAAGAGAATGATGTCAAACATCGGCCATGTCACTCTAACATGGCCGCCATTTAAGGTATCATGGTAGG